AGGGTCTATTGATATAACTAATGACTCTGATCTTTTGTCTGTTCCAAGGTATTATTTTCCGCACCATTGTGTGGTTAGGGTACAAAATATCGCGTAGTTTTTAACGGATCCATGAAAACCACGTCAGGATTAAAGCTTACTTTTCATGCATCCATTTTCCGACGAAATATGTCCGAAAAATCTTCTATTTTGACATATTTTTATACGATTATGTCGGAATAGAATCTTTTTCGGACATCTTTCGTCGGAAAAACGGATGCATGAAAATCCACCCTAAGCCTAAATGACATTATGTACAAGGGGAGTTTGGTTTAACCAGATTTATTCGACTATTACTGTATTCCTTTTACCCGTTGAGTTACTCGGAGCTGCTCAATGTCAAAAGCTTGAACGTTCCTTTTAAAAGTGCATTAAGCACTCGAGTCGCTCATAGTGCATCCTCCTTCCCCCCGATGCACCAAATTTGCGGGTGGTGCAAGAAGCCCTTTAAGGTAATGACAGTAATGTTAATTTTAAAAAATAATGATAAAATCTGAATTGACGTTTTCAATTAAAAGAGATGGACAATAAAGTATGAAAACAATCATTTTCCCGCCAACATTTGCTTGCTTGTCAATGCCAGTGTGTATTGGGTGTTTTGAAAGAAAATGTGGGGAAAGTCACTACTTCATTTGCAGAACTTCGCTATGGACAAAGCGGTGGATCATTTTGGAAGCAAACAGCTCCCGCAAACTAAACTTGAACGTGGATTACTTTGTATACTTGATAGGCCGTGGATTCCCTTTTTTTTTGCGAGTATTCTTCCTGATTTTATGTATCCAAAATTTGACAAATGTAGGATTTGATGGAAACTTATGGAAAGACACGTCCGCCGGTAAATAGGAATTATTTTTACAAAAAGGCACTACGCAATCGCCATTGTTAGCGAAAAAACTTTGAAAAAACCGAGGAAATAATAGTTTCCAGTTTCCACATGTACAAAAGTCTTGTCAACAAACCACTGTCAGCGGCTGTCAACCGTTGTTTTCATACTCTTTTGGCGTCTGACAGTTTGACACCAGAGAGAGAGAGGCTTTTAAATTGAAAAGGTCATTTGTGTGTTTTGGAGCGACTCCGAGGAGCTCGTTCGGTGTAACTCGATGTATAAAAGGAATACAGTAATTGTTGCAAGGTTTAGAACTTTTCAGTTTGTCCTAACTAGCGACATTCAAAAGATGTATAGGTGTATATGATAGGTCATTGCAAAGTTTTATATGGAGGGATGAACCATCATCTAAGTTGCGTCATCTAGAGCTTCAGACTATGACATATGGTACGAATAGCGCACCATTTTTGGCAACCAGGACATTGGTAGAGCTGGCTAATCAGGGCAAGGTAGAGTTTCCTTTAGCTTCAAAAACACTTTTACAACAAACTTATGTCGATGATATCATGGGAAGTGCACATTCGCTTGAGGAATTAAATGAATTAAGAAGTCAGCTAACTTTACTTTTAAGATCAGCAGGGTTTGAGCTCCATAAGTGGAATTCAAATAACAAAGTCAAGTGAGCCACTTGGTTCACAAAAGGTATTAGGACCCAGATTCGGATTGTTTTCAGATCGTTGTTCCTGACTCAGCAGAGCGAAAAAAGTTTACTAAAAGGGAGGTTCTTGGAACAATCGCCAGGGTATTTGATGCTATGGGGTTTGTTAGTCCTGTCATTGTTGTGGCTAAGGTTATTATGCAGAAGCTCTGGACTGCAAAGGTTGAATGGGATGATGTGATACCCAGTGAATTACATCAAGAATTGCCGTATTTAAGGGATATAAGGATATCTCGTTGGATATTTGTTTCACAAAAAATACTTTCTATGGAACTTATTGGATTTTCAGATGCATCTTCCCATTAAAAATGGTTTCTATAGCGTGTGTGGAACTGTGCGGTTATTTGCTTTTATCACGGCTGTGAGAAAAATTTAATGCAATTTGATAAGATAATTTTGTTCACTGACTCTCGCATTGTTCTGGCATGGTTAAGGTCACCACCCACATTTGTAGCCAACATAGTGTCAGAAATACAAGATATTTCAGCTAATGTAAGTTGGGCTCATGTTGCGTCACAGCTGAATCCAGCAGATTGTATTTAACGAGGGTTAAGTCCCAAGGAGCTGATCAACTGTAAAATTTGGTGGGTCCAAGTTTTCTTTATAATTCTGATTGGAGTATTCCATCTGAGATAAATTTACAAACGGATTCGTTGCCCGAAGAGATACAGGTGGCACATGGTCACATCAAATCTCCTGTCAATTCTGACTGTTTTCATAGGTTTTCTTCTTTCATTAGGTTGTGCAGAAGTCTTGCAGTTCTATATAGGGTTGTAAATGATTCAAAGAAAAATTCCATAAAATTATAATAGATAAAACCCAAATTTGTATATATAGGATAATTCAGAAGGAGATTTTTTCGAATGAAATTTATGGTTTGCCAAAGGATGAATGTTTACCAAGTAAAAGTCCTTTGTTAGATTTAAATCCTTTTTTGGATTCTGAAGGCTTACTTAGGGTTAGGGGACGCTTGGAAAATTCGTTACTTTCATTTGATGCCAAACATCCTGTTATTTTGCCATCTGGGTCATGCAGGTTTTCGGGCTGTGTTGAATAGTTTGAGACAACGGATTTGGATAATTGGTGGGATTCGGTGCATTAAGGGTATTTTAATAAATTGTGGAAAATGTCATAGGTTTATTGTTTTGCGCAACAGCTTAAGGGAAATTTATCTGCTGAGCGTACTCAATTGACATATCCATTTTCAAATGTGGGCCGTCCACATTGAGCTTGTTTCGGATCTGTCTACAGAGGGTTTTATTTTGTCTTTGGAAAGGTTCATTTCTCGGCGGTGTAACCCCCACACCATTAGCAGTGATAATGCAACTAATTTTAAAGGTGCTAACAATGTTTTTCATGAATTATGCAGGTTCTTGGAAAAGAATTCTGATAAAATTAGTGATTTTCTGTCTACAAAACAAATTATCTGAAAGTTTATATACCCCCCAAAAGTCCTCACTGGGGTGGCCTGTGGGAGGCAGGTATTAAAAGTTGCAAATACCATTTGAAATGTGTGGATGGAAACAAAATTTTTAGCCGAAATAGAGGCTATCCTAAATTCGAAGCCATTGCAGCCAATGTCAAATGAGATTTTGGATATACCTATCTTGTCTCACTCCAGGGCATTTTCTAGTTGGCCATCCACTAACTGCATTTCCTCAGAGGGATTATACAAAATGTTAAGGAAAATCGTTTGTCTATATGTATGAGCATATTTGTAAATTGCGCCATGATTTTTGAAAAGCCTGGTCGAAGGACTATTTAAATTTATTGTAGCATCGGCCAAAGTGGAAAACAGCGAGACCTAATGTAAAGGTAGGTGATTTAGTATTGGTGAAGGAGGATAACCTTCCACCTCTGGAATGGCTTTTAGCAAGGGTTACTTCGATAATTTATGGGAAAGACAATAGAGTAAGGGTAGTTCATATTAAAACTAGTAAGGGTGAATTTACAAGACCTATCACAAAACTGTTTCTACTTTGGATTCATCAGAGTTCAGTTGAGGAAGAGACCTCAAGGGGGGGAGGGGGAGAATGTTGACTGCAGGCTCTACCCTGTACACAATGTGCAGGAATTTGTGTGGTGTTTTCCTTAGCATTTTTGGCATATTATGGGATTTGGGCACTGGTCTGTATTATGCGTCAACTGTGAACACTTTCCACATGAAACTGGTAGAAGCTCTGGCGCTTTACTAGGAAAAACTGGATATACTTTGTATTTGTATGGAAAACCGTAGTTGAGAAGTTTTTCAAAGGAGTTTAAATCGCCCGTAATAATAATCCGAAATTCGTATATGTATACAGAGTGGTTTTGGAACTGTTCTTAGAAACCATTAAGTTGATTGAGACTAGACTTAGCGATAATTTATTAATTAGTATACAAAAACAAATTGGAGAGGGACAAAATGACAGCATTCTTAAAGAATATACAATTCTGTCAAAAACAGGTATTTGTTACAAAAGAAAGCTTGTTTATCCATGAACTACGATTGCTCGAAAGCAGTAGAAAAGCTGAGTCAGAACCCACTATCTTGCTATCGACTCTGTCTTACTACCCAATTTAACTTATTTTTGTTCACTTAATGATCTCATTTTTCATTGACTTCTCCCTTGAATTGATTTTAATGATTATCCTTTTGTCTTCTAAAGATTTCTGCTTAAATATCTCAAATTTTCTATACCCACATCGCATTATAATGCCATTTACAAAATGGAGTGAAAATAGTCTAACTCTTTATACATATTATTTATTCTCTCAATTTCAAATTCAACATTCAAAACGAAATATTCATTATTGAAATGTTTTATTCAATTTTAAATGTATAAAAGCAATTTCCAATGTGTTGTTGAGTTTGAGAGAATTGATTATATTTTGTCTGGTAATATTTCCATTTATGTTTGTTTTAGGCCTAAAAATATCTTTTGAACTCAAAAATTCATCAGTATTGAATTGTAATGTTAAAGAATCACACTTCATTTGGCTGGTTCAAGAAGCTATTTCACTACTTCATAATTTATCATTAATTTACTTCTTTATTGGCAATCAAGAGCAGGTAGTAATCAATCACCGACTCTTGATTGCCTCTCCAGAAACTTGTAATAATGTATCCGAGTTAAATTACTCAAGTTTATTTGAAAAAAAATCGTCACAGTATGGCATTTTTCCAGCAATTACGAATTGCTTCTAGACACGCTCGAGTGCCTGAATTATGATAATCAAATATTTGCCAACTGTGACAGTTTTTATTGCTACAAGGACTGAGAAAATTGTACAGACCGATTACGGACACGAATTAATTAAAATTGCATTTATGCATGTTTACTCGAGGTCAAGCACCCCTCATAATTTTCCCCCAATTGCCAAATCCTTTAAGCTGTATAAAAGGATTCCTTTGCATTAATAGATGTTTCAACTTACCAATTTTAGCTAAACTGGCACAAAATATCCACAAAGCAATAATAAACGGTGTCTCGACCCGATGAAACGACACCGAAATCACCGGGTACCTCTCCACCGGCTTCTTTTTCTTGGGTGCTTCATGGCCAGTACTACCCCCATCATCTCCCTCGTCAGTACTAGTAGGAACGCTCGAAGGTACCCCATCGTTCACTGAATCAGTAGAAGTGGTCGGTATCAAATTGCCTTTCGCCAAACTGTTAATGTCGTAGGCCCGATCGTAGGCGCGAGTATCGAACCCGCCTTGCGGCGGCCGTGCAACCGATCCAGAAGCGTAATCCGGTGGTACCGCATGACCGGCGACGTAAACTCCTAGCAGGAGTACCGGGATGAAGTACCTGCAGGCCCGTCTCGAAAGGTTTACAGAGTGTTGCAACGAATACATCACATTGGACGTTGTGCGACTGCCATGGCAGTCCGACAGCGGTTTTTTTTTTTAATGAGGCGTCGGTGTCGGCGCGAGGACGCCTGGCAGACTGGATTGGGGCGGTAAAACCAGCTGACGCGGCGTCGCGGCGCTGCTGGCGGCGCAAGCGTCGAGGGGAGACGAAAAATTACGAGGGGATCGACGCTATAGCAACCCGGAATCTGGAAATTGTTCCGAGAAAACTTTTGCATAATTGAGATACGCTTTGTATGTTGAGCCGATGAAATTGCTTTGGCAAATATGAATCTAATGGTTTCGTGTCTGGAGATTTTCCTGGTAATATTTACACCTGGAATGTTATCTTGTAATAATAGATAATAATTTGTCAACTTGACTGGTCTCAATTATTGACAATGTAATGTTGAAGTTGACAGATATTAAAAATATTTTCATAAATTTTTCCTAATTTCCAATTCAAATTCCATATAAAACACTAAGATTTAACAATTAACATGAATAGATAAAATAAATACTTTCAAAAAATCTTTGAGATAATTTTTATTGAAAACAGAAATAAAAACAACTTAGAAGCTAAGCTAAATACTAAGTAGGATATAATACAATCTAAAAATTCACATCAATACATTAGCCAAAAACAATACCAATAAAACGTCGACCATTATAGGAGGCTCTTCTTCTAATTCTACCAGAAGATTCTACAACGGGCTCAACATTTAGAGTTTCAAGAGAATCCAATACTCGTTTTCCCTCGTCACTTGTACTTATTGCAACCTGATTACTTGGTTCTGATAAAGCGTGGCCAATTAGGGTGCAAATAAGCACAAAAACGAAAACTTGCTTAATCTAAAACCAAAATACTTACAAGAAAAGATGGGCAAAAAATATTTACTACTTACCATTTTTACAATACAATAATTGTAGCTGAAAAACAATTCAACGTATTTGCGTGACCTTTCTCTTGATTCACACAATTCAATTATGATGATAAAAGAAGCTTCATTCATACATTTATATACCATCAAAAGGGAAAAACAAACTCGTGCACGCAAAAGCTGCTAATTTAATTCACAATGTCCACTTATTTTGATTCCTATGTGTTGATTCATTATTGTAGAATATTTGATTTATGATTTTCATGGTTCTTAAATTAAAAATTGAGGAAAATTCGCTAATACTATGGATCCTTAGTTCAAATAGAGCAATTCTGGAGTATTGAAGCAGTTTTATTGATATAAGCATGATTCGCAATTAACTATATTTGAAGGTTGAAGCGACTACTTTTTTGAAACTATGTGAAGCTATTTTAACTGAGTATTATTCTTTACTCGGTGTAATCATTTACATAATTGAACTTCTTCATCAACTCCAAACATGTTGAGGAATTAACAAATTTCCATAAAATAATCTCCAAAAGCAACATTACAACGCTCGTAAAAACGATAGACATACAAAGAATGTACAAATACTTCATTTCGGCCAACCCCAAACTGCTAAAATGATTGACGCGTCCTTCACAAGGCAATTTGATTGCAAAAAGTCGTTTAAAGTCCCTATTGTGTAGTCCATGTTCGAATATTCTTGCCAACCTACAAAGTAGGTAATGTAGGTAATACACTTTGGTAGTTATAAAATCTTACCCAACTTTAAAATGGCTCAGAAATGAGGCATTTTTGCGAGCAGCCATGTAAACTTGGTCCACTTGGTAAATTGTGTTCACGTATCTGATTGAGCATTTTTGTGCCTGAGTAAATTTTCGATTTATTTTGAGGTGAACTGGGGTAAGTTGGCCGTGAAACGCAAACAATTTTGATCCTACAAGATCCACTGCTTTGTCCAGATCATAGAAGAAATTTGTATCGCCTTTTGTCAAGTACATTTCTTGATAGAGCTTGTTGCGCCAATACTCGTTTGTTCTTTGATTTGGATTCAAAAAATAGAAGCGATTATAATTCAGATTGTGAACGCCAATATCGAATTTATAATTGTACAAATCCTCGAGAGTCTTAATTGAATTTGTGGTGCCTTGGAAAAACAGGATGAAGCCTGCACAATTGGCATTAAATAAAATCACGAAAGCCATGTAGATTATGAAAACTGCAAATTTTCCCGCTGAGGATTTCAGCGTTTTGTCCCAGGATTTTTGTGTGATAGCTGAAAAGGTTATCATGATTGCTTCAGTGAAAGTAATGATGTTATTATCATGATGGTGACTAGAAAAAAATTAATATCAATATATTATAACTTGAAAAGTGCTCATTACTTTGTATGAATCCATTTTTCTTCTTGCATAATAATAAAAAATAAAACTGGTACTACAATGGATAACATTATGACGATGCAGTACCAAGTCAGCTTGTCAAATGCTAGAACGTAAACGTTTTGTATTAAAGATATAGATGGCGCTCTGAAAATGAATTTTATGGTTTCTGACTTTGTTGTAGGACCAAAAAAGCGTAGATATCTTAGTCGTTTTTCGTCTATAAAGACTCCAAGACCTAAAAAGAAAAATCAAAAATAGTAGGTATATACAGGGTATTTCAAAAGTGAGCAGCATCCTTTCGGGGGCGTATTCCTCGCATAAAAATAAGACAAAAAGTTCCTATTAACATGGGTCCGAAAATGCTTCCTAAGAGAGCTACGCCTTTTCGAATAGGACACATGAAAGACGTAACTATTTTTCTCTATAACTTCGAAACCCTTTAGAAATGGATTTTGAAAATTGGTGTATTTTATAAACATTTGATGGCAATTAAGATACTAAATTGGAAATTTAAAAATTTTAATCAGTGGCGTCACATACTGGAAAGGGTGACGGTTAAAACATCCCTATTTTTTTTACCCGTCAAGTTTTTGCGATTCCGATTGAAAATTCGAAAAGTTTAGAGTTTTTTACATAGAAAAGGTATTCTTAGTTCAATTCGATACGGCGTATCGTTTACGAGAAAATTGACTTTGAAAATTTTCTGATTTACGTATGTTTCGCAAAAACCTGACGAGTGCAAAAATAGGGATGTTTTAACCCTCACCCTTCCCAGTATGTGACGCCTCTGATTAAGATTTTTGAATTTTCAATTTAGTATCTCAATTCCCACAAAATCCATTTGTGGAATGTTTCAAAGTTAAATATAGAGAAAAATAAGTCTTTCAGGTATCCTATTCGAAGGGGCGTAGCTCCCTTAGGAAGCATTTCCGGAGCCATGTTAACAGGAACTTTTTGTCTTATTTTTATGCAAGGAATACGTCCCCGAAAGGATGTCGCTTACTTTTGAATCACCCTGTATATACTAAGCACAATAGGCTAATTTAAGTTATCTACATACATCGATAATGTCTATGCCCAGACAGCACAAAGACATCCTAAAGACGCCCCTAAGATGTCCGAAAACGACATTCAATACGTCTTTTTGACGTCTGCTTACGTCTTCAAGGCGGCTTAAAGGTATCTCAAAGACGTGGTAGGTATATTACAAAAAAATATAAAACTAATACCAAGCACTTTTTTAGATTCCGTGCTTTATTTCCTTCAATTTGATACCCTACAACCCATATTTTTGGATCCTAGGTCCTATTATTTTATTAGTAGAGTCTGCATATCAATTTTTAAATATCTGCTAACTTCTTGTTTCCGAGATAAAGAAAATCCCTTCACCCTCTTTCGAAATCAAATTACCTCTATTTTTCCGCCCCTTGTTAAAATTTCAAAAAACTCTGAAATACTTGTTCACTTCTTTTGTTCGTAGAATCTATAAGCCAATTTTCGGATTTTTGCGGCTTCTTGTCTCCGAGATACAGAAATCCTCTTTAATATTTCAACCCCTAATTTAACCCCCTTGGGGGTGAAATTTTCAAAAACCCTTTCTTAGCAAGAGCCTACGTCATAAGCCCAATATAGAGATGTCCTCCAAGTTTCATAACTGTAGGTCAAGTAGTTTGTGTATTATTATAGATATTTTCTAAATAAAGCAAACTTGCTACTAAATATGTAGTTTTTATATTTTTATGAAAACTGTCAGCTGACAACTAACGTTAATGACTATTACTACATCTTACCCTTTACAGATTTATGGAAATACATTAAGATTAAACACCAACAATGCGGATATTATCAATTATCAATACATAACATAATCAGTAAACCTAGAGGGTTTCTTAGTACTACGATTGGACCTCTGATTCTCACCTAGTGAGCCACTGTTAAAGTTATCTGCCTTAGTATTCTCAATGATACAGGGCTCTGCAACAATACCAACATTATCAGTTCCAAAATTGGAATAAGATTCATGTTTAGCAGTGGCGTGTCCAGACTTAAGCAGACGGGGAAGCTGTGGGGAAAGATGGTGAAAGTACAGGACAGGAGAGACTTATATTTTCAGAACCAGTCAGCCATTCACAAGTTTCATATATTTCTTTTTGAAAATGTCTTTATAAAGTTTAGTTTAGTGTTCTTAATAAATCCTCGAGGGGAAGCTGTGCTTCCGTTGCTTACATGGTAAACACGCCACTGATGTTTAGATAGGTTATTCTGCTATAGATCAGAATCACCGCGATTACTTTGTCTATTTGATAAATCATGTTGAATTTCTGAGCTGCGTAAATGATTACTATTTAGCCTTAAAACATTAGAACAATTATTGATCAAGTAAGACCTTGGGGCCTCATGTATAGTTGCAGGACGCCACTGATTTACATCCCTATATACAACAAGAGTTCAGCAGGAGACGTTTTAAGATTTGTAATAGGCGTGTTACGATACTCCATAAAAGCAACCCACAAATCATTTGATTTTCGAATAATGTTTTTAGCTGTTTGCACAAATCTTTCAGCAAGTCCATTCGATCGCAGATATATCTAGGGCTACTTGTTTGAATTGAACTCATTCGCAAAACATTATACTCATACGAATTAAAAGGCATAAGTATTATCTGACACTATAACATCAGGTATTCCATGTCTCGCAAATATTTGTTTCAAAACACTAATAACATGGCAAGACTGTTTTCCTTCTAAAAACATAATTTCTAACCACTTAGTTAAATAATCTACAATTACTAAATATGATTTTCCTCCATAGTCCA